TATATATATATATATATAAATTTGAAAGTAAGGGCGGGAGCACAGTCTTGCATAACGCATAACGCATAATGCATAAGAAAATGAATCAACCTAAGTCCTTCATTTCCTTCCTTTCCATGAAATAAAAACTTTGATTGGTCGATTTTCTTATGTTTTATGAATTATGCGTTATGCAAAGGTCTATCCTGATCTTTATTCTAAGATTTTATTGTTAGCTTACAGAAGTTAACTTTACAGAACTTCTTTTTCATTTCATTTCATTTCGGTGTGTCTTTTGTTTCAGTGTTAGGTGTCCATCACACACAAAATTACATAAACTGAATAATCATAGCATAAAGCCTCTAGCCTAATAAGTATCTTATGTAAATCAGTATAGCGTCTTTATTGAGTTAGATGTTGATTGGTTCAGAGGCCTTAAGCTATGGTTATGCAGCTTATGTCATTTTGCGTGTAATCGCCTTTAATTAACAAGGAATATTATCATTGAACAAACGCGTTGAACTAAGTGACGAAATTGACGCGTAACGCGCTTCTAATCTCCTTGGGATAATCATTTTCATGAATGCTGAGTGGTACTTGCCTGAGGATAACTGACTGGTCTGGTCACAGCCAAGTACCTGTCCAAGCTGATGGCGCATAAATTCAATATCGATGCCGTGCACATCCAAACGTCAACCGCAAGCCACACGGAGCACCAAAGGTTTCCGTATATCCAAACCTTTTGAGGGAAACACGTTCAAAAGAAATACGTTTAGCACAAAACGTCAGTGACAAAGAATCTTTCGTTCTTTAGCGTAAATAGTAACAAAATCTCACTTATTTACTTAGAAAAAAGACAAGATAGTTAACTGTAAGGTGACAACTATGTGAGTTTTTATATGTAGAATCAATGTACACACACACACACACACACACGCGCGCACACACACACACACGCACACATAATTGAATAAACTATTTTATAATTATTGTAACTATAAAATAATTTATTCTACTATATATATATGTACATTAGTTTATAATATATAAAATAATTTTGCATATAAAACTTGTATAACTGTCACTTTTACAGTTACTACTACTATCTTTTTCTCTGAATGTTATTTAATTTGAAATATGATCCAAAAAATTGATTTTATTGTAATACAGTAGCTTTATTCACCAGATAGGTGTGAAAAATTGAATTGTTAAATGTAACATATCTCGAAATTGAAGCAAAAATAACTATCCATACATCGCGTATTAAATAGGACAAAGCTTATCGCAGATGAGCAGACAGTTCATGCATGTGATTGACAGTGAAGCATATCTGATAACTCGCAAAATTTAGCGAGTAGATAAGACGCGTGGCACGTGTCAATCGTCGAATCAATTCCCATTCAGCTCGGACGGTGATTCACGATGTAACCACATATAATGGAATCCCATCTACTGCGTGCGGCATGCGCGCATCTGTACGTCCGTATTGTACACATAACGCATCCGCATTATGACGAGCAATACAACCGCGCACATCTCTACAGTACTACAACCACCTGTTCAGAATTAGCCAGCGTTACGCGTGTTACCGATATCGGAATTCAGTAATTAACCTTCATTATTTACAATCAGATTATTGCAGCTATGATATGACTGCACACGGTCATTGATAAATTGCTACTAAATGAATTCTCCCATTCTCGTTTACTAATTTCTTAAAATTTACTGATCGCTCGTTTTCTTTCCCATTTTTGCCATATTTATCGAATAATGGAGATTTCTAAACATTTCATTTTCGAAAATGCTTTTTGGCTAATAATAATTGCAATTATAAAAAAAAATTTCTTTGAACAAAAGACAATTTTGCTGATCAAACTAAAAAATTGTATATGGCTGCGTTCAACAGAGAAAGCAGCTTTGCAACTTTGTAAAATTCTTCAATATGATTGGTCTTGCCCTTACTTCCTCATTAGATTTAAATGTATAAACCAATCATTATATATATATATATATATTCTTTGTTATTCTATATTAATAAATTCTAAAATATTCAATACAATCTCGAGTTGCAGTTACTATTAGTAATTAATGGCAAACAAAAAATCTATTAATTATTTACTATTATTCACATGACTACAGTTATATAAGGATATAAATATGTATACATATAGTATATACTTCTGTATAACTCCGTTCTATCTTCGCTCTCAAAAACTTGCCCCTAACCATACATTATTTAATTAAAACCAATTTTATGTCACGTAATTAGTAGGCAACATATACAGATACATTTCAGCATACCCGAGGTAAATTAATTAAACGATGTCCTGAGGCGTTTAATTTTGGGAAAATGTCAGGAGAAAAATTAAATCATAATAATGTATACTTTTTTTTCATAATCTTAATATTTTTTCCCTTAAGATTAATATTTTCTGATTAATATTAATACAAACTAATTTAATAAGAATTCCAATATGTACTTTTCCTTTTCAATATTCTGACATCTATCTTTATTTATTATTCAACTGCAAGTCTATGCATTAAGTACATTTTCAAGAAGTCAATGTTTTATAGACCTACATTGTGTGTTCATTTCTTATTTAGTGTATCCAGTATTACTGTATCTTACTAACGTAGCGATCGATACCCGCTTTTGGTCTGCCCGAACGAAGTTCCACCAATAAAATTATTTGTCTATTAAAATATATAAATTATAAAATTATACTACGCATCTTTACAACGAAGATGCTCGTTGTTGTTTTTTTTCTTCTTTTTGGCACTGCGAAGACGATCTATGCCGCGTCACTTGACCAATTCCTCCGGAAGAAAGAGGCAAGGAGGAAGAAAGACTCTTCGAAGAAAAAGTCGTATCGTGATAAGTGCGCGGTGAATTAACTTGTGCTATATCGTGTAAACTCCAGCTAAATGGAGCACCGCATTCTCGGCTCGAGCTACTGAGATTCACACCGCTTCTATACTCCATCCACTGCCCACCGACCCGTTTCCAGGTTCCCAGTGAACATTCGTGTACACGTAAATATTGCAAGCACGAAAATCCAGGTTGGAAGGACCAAAGGGAAAAGCCAACAAACTGTTGCATTCTCCGTGAATCACACTTAAACCGGTACAACTCGTTCAGGATAAAATGTACCGCCGTTCTCTACTGCACGTTTCTTCCACCGCGCGATACTTTTAATCGTATTAGAAAAAAGTGAAACAATGCTCAAAGGAATAGTACTATGAGTCCCTGAGAGATATGTCGAAAGAATTACCTCATCGAGAAAAAGATAAGCGAGATAAGAACAAGAATGTTTCGTGATTAATGACACAATATTCTCGGAAAGAAAAAGAAAATTGTGCTTTGGAAATATTATTTTCTTCATAAGAGATGACTTATTTTTAATAAAAAATATATTTTGTGTGTATAAAAATATTTTAATTATGATTAGAAAATAATAGAAAATTTTTCGAAAAAATCATTTTGTAACACAGAAGCATATATCTCGCAATAAATGTTAAATAACAGAGACAAGAAATATTATATACTACAGAGATTTATTGAATCAATGAATTACAGATCTCAAAAAAATAGAAAGGCTGAGATAAATAGCTATCGAAAAAATAATCCAAAAATTAATGATTTGTTAAACATTTCTTAGACTGTGTAATTCTGAAATTAAAATTAAAACCAACTTCAAATATCGAAGATATTTGCGCTTTCGAATACATTTGCGTACGTTTCAAAATAGTAATATTTTTTGTAAACAGTGTACAACCCATCCCCCATAAAATATACTTCGCTTGTGAAAACAAGCGGATATTGCGTGAGACAGAATTCGGTAAATCGATTCTGTCGAAAACCGTGGGTTAGTGAACGTCCAATGGATAAAACTTTGCTTTCATACAACTTGTCGTATCGATACGTAATAATGCTGTTGCAATTGATCCCATTGTGCCTCATCGTTGTATAAAAAATGCACTATTGATTGCGACAAAATAAATACTGTTCAAGATGCACTGATAAATCAATATAAAGCGCAAAACGTAATGCGCTGCTTTAATAAAGTGCGATCAAATCTTTATAATGCAACAGATTTTTATCGAACACTTCGCTTTTGTTGATTACTTTTTATAATTATTAGAAATATATTATATGTACAACATTTGTAGCAAAAATATATTGTTATTTACTACAACAACGACATAACTTAATAACATAAAGAAAAAACACTTTTAGAAAACATAATTATATTTCGTTATAATCAATAATTACACCAAAATTGTATTTTTAAATTAATACTAATTACAAAATTTTAATGATTTAAAACATTCAAACTTATTATCTGAAAAATTTTATTTTTGGAATTATGTCTTATTGTTGTAGCAAAAGAGCGATATACAGAGTAACATACAGTGTGTGTCACCGAGTTAAACTACTAAACATAAAATATGAATTTAGGATCTCAAAACAAACTACATTTTCCTCTGGAAGTTTGCTCGCAAACGCTTCGTTTAAATTTAAGAGATATTAACATCTTAGGTTATAGAATGATAAAAAATGAATAATATTGAAATATCTCTTGGTTTTGTATGAAGTATATATACCCATTAATGATTTTCAGTTATTAAAGCGGAAGATGCAAGCGTGCGAAGCAATTTATATAGACACACAATGTCAGTCAGCCATTTGTTCTCTCATCGATAAGTGCAATTAATACTGTCTCAGAGTTGGAGGCTATTATTTCGAATAAAACTTTTAATAATTACATTTTGATTATTGCAAAGTAATAAACTTAGATCATTTCGACATTATTTATTCCTTATATAATTTTGTAATTTAAAATAACAAAGACAATCTAAATGTGGGCTAATGAGAGTCAGTGCGAGCGAAGGTGCGCAATAAATCTTCACAAATAAAATTTGTTACTTCATGTGATGTGTTGATCTCATCTTTATTTGAATTTATAACTTAATATCTCTTAAACAAAGCGTTTGCTAGCAAACTTCCAAAGGAAAATTTTGTTTGTTCGAAGTCCTAAATTCATATTTTAACCCGGAAACACCCTGTATAAATATATGTATATATATATATAAATATAAATAAATAAAGGTATATATAGTATGCCGAAAAAATCTTTCAATCTCAATTCTTATTATTTTAATTCTCTGTTTTCATTTTTAATACAAGAAAGTTGCCAGTACTAACATAAATCTTCTAAAAAGACAGCCCCTTATTTCTTGCTAAAGAAGCTAATTATTGCATCTTATTACTGATAAAAATATAATCTGTTTAGATAATTAAAAAAATAAAAATTCATAATTTATATATTTGTAGCTTATTTTTAAACAAAATTAGTTAAAAATATTCTACAAGTACAAAAATAAAATGTTTATGATTTTCTTTTTCAAATTGTGTAGTTTAAACAATAGTAACTATATTATTGATGATATTACATAGTTTTACATATTTGTAGTTTCCCAAATCAGTTTTATTAGATTTTTTTTATATTTTTTCATATTATAATTTTAAATATAAATAGGGGCAACTATATAAACCGGCACACCTGTCTGCAAGCTAAGACTATAAGCTAATTTAATCTATACGCACATTTTACAATAAGTCATTACTTAAGCTTTGAGTCTTAAGCTGCAAGAAATTGACTAGTTACAATCGAATGTGAGAAGAATAATCGACTATAATTGGTTAATTTTTTACGGCCTAAGATTTAAAGCTTGGGTAATAACTCATTGTAGAAAACCCATTATATCTTGCGTTATAGTGTCAAGTAGCTCTATCGGAGTTCAAGACAACCGTGTATTTACAAAACAAATCTTAAAAAAACTGTAGCATTGTATATTTGCAGAATAGCATAAAATGCATACAAATCAACAAAAATCGTTTTATATTAAAGTGAAAAGATTCTAGAAAATCTCACATTCACTTGTAAGTATTTTGTACAGATGATTCCTTCCTGTGAAAGTAAAAAAAAATAAGAATATGTGGCGTTGTTGTTTACTGCGTCAGTTTTGGGACCCATTTTGTTAGACGCTTATTTTTGCTTACCTTACAAAAAAGTTAATTATTGCAAAATTGCAAACAGTAGTTACCTGATAGTAGACAGTTTTTCTAGTTTGTAATTATGTTTTTAAAGTTTTATTTTTAGCTTCTGTTTCTGAGAAATATTTAAATATAAAGTGATATTCCTCTACCTATCCATTATTCTACTGTCAATTAACATAGTGAAAAAAGATCTTACCTTATAGACCTCCCAGGTTGCGCTGAACGGTAGGACAGCGACGCCGACCATCAGATCGGCGACCGCCAGGCTCACAATGAACATATTCGTCACGTTTCTCAGCTTGCTGGTACAATAGACGGCCAGAATGACTAGGACGTTACCTACCACCACCATGACATCGATGATCGCCAGAACGATTAAGGTAATCACGTTCCACAGACTTGACCACTCGACGCCGTCGTACAAAGCAGCGCATGCGGTGGCGTTCAGGTCTCGCATTTTAATTAACTCTCGCGGTCCTCGGGTACGCCCATGTGATCCTGTCGGAGGACTCCAGAAGATATCGGACACGGTGACGACGAAGGGTGATGCGAACTCGGTAGGACGCGCGAGACATCGCGAGCCGTCGTAACGGGATCAAGGTTCTTCTGCGTTAACACTTAAATGTAACTCAGAATGATTAAATACACTATGGTCTTTGCAGTTTTCACAGAACACCACGATCCTCTCGCACTACCAGAAATAATAAGTGAAGATTTTATGACTGGCCGATCGATTCACTCGACGGTAGAACTAGAACTGGAGGAAGCTCGATGTTTATCATGGTCTTTGAACCCGAGGAACAATCACGCTTTCATCGTATATTAATCTATCGATTAATTACGTTTAACTTCTGAATTAATTTTTCAATTAATTTATATCTTACGCGAGATGTTACATCAAGCAACTTTATATTACGCCACTTAATTTAAGTATCTTTACGTTACAGAATGAAGACAGGAATTGCAGCTCGTTTCTGAATTATTCTCAAGATTGTCACTGGATTTTCTTAAACACTATTTCAAGTTTGTTAAATAAATTACACTTGTTTTTATACTATCAACGTAGTATTAACTGTTACAACAAAGTTCTTTGCCTTTCTCATTTATCGAAAATTATTTCCAATTTTTCGTCGAACGCGGTCGTTAATTGAAGACCAATCCCCGTGGATTTCCATCAATATTCCCACGATTACGGTCGGATGAGCTCGTTAATGCGCACGTATACACGCTTGCCGAAACACTTGATCATACACTGCCCGATAGTCAATCCGATGCTTTAGTTTCGTGGACCCCGCAAACAGGGTCGCAAAACGTTATCCCCGGATAATCGATAACACTCGCTCTCAGCATACACATAGTCGCTAACGTTGCATCTCGAATGATGTCTAACGTTACGCAGCGTTTAAACAGCGTGTCATTTTAGACAGCTCGCCGAGGCTATCGAATTTAACAAGCTACGATCTAGTTTGTGTTTCGGATATCTGTGGCTCACTTGTCACTGTTCCCATTTTCCTAGCGTCGCGAATTTCGAGTGCATGATCTGCAACAATCGCCTTGACATCAATCGATCGAGTCTTTCGTAATTCACAACGCGTATTTCCTAGTTACTTCCCCGGATACGTTTAATTATTTACATTCGAATTCTACGCGACTATTCTTTCGTTCGCATTTATACTTGGTACTATTTCAATCGAATGAAACGCGTGACTCTACAAATGTGATACTACTGATACTTCAACACTATCTCGCGCGATCCCACTGACGCAACGCGGAGAAGGTTGGAGCCCTGACAAAAACTGTTTCGATGAAATCGCCCTAATTGTCTGTCATCGAGTTTTGTATTGTCATACGATCCACGTGCCACCGATCCATTAGCGTTTTCCTAAAAAAAGACAGCAGCAATACAGGAAAGGGAAGGTGTATAGCTGGCATCCCTTAACGCGCTGACACCGCTCGCTTGCAACCGATCTTCGTCGGTTTCTCTTCTTCTATCGCAGCATCTGTCTTGCATCTCTCTCTCTCTCTCTCTCTCTCTCTCTCTCTCTCTCCTCTTTTTTTTCCCCTCGCCGCGGATATATTAGAACCTGCAGCGGCCTGCAATCTCTCTTCCGGAGGCTTTAGCCACGCTATACTGCTTTGACTGCACTTTTCACTCCCCCGCACAAGCCATCCTACGACGATCACGTACCTACCCCGTAACCCACCGACCCTCTACCACCGTCTCCGGCAACCACTCGCTCCTCCTCCCGTTACAAAATCGAATCCGACGGAAGTTTTCCGTCGTTCGTTCCGCTCGAGAGACCGACGTTATCCCGACGGGAATTGAAAACAGCGTCGTCGCCTCTATTAGGCGCGATCGTCGACTGGCGTTTACCACGAATTTTACTGACGTCGAAACGACCCGTTAAGTACCCCTTTTCTCATGATTTCACCTCGTTTCCCGATTCCTAGTTTGATAAAATGCGACCAAGTGCTTCCAGGAAGCTGTGAGCGAATCTTCCTATTATATATAAATCGACGGTGATTCCGAGAAGTGCTAATCGCCCACGATAATTTTGCTTTACAAATATACAAATTCTGCGGAAGTACACGAAATTTTTTTCACATAAAAAATTTCTGAATGAAACATATCTCGTTTTTTCTAAGATTGATGCATTGATGCGTTCTCTCGCGGGAATAATAAATATAATATCAAATCTCTAACAAATGTTCCGATTTAACTGAAGAAAAGCTGACGGTTTACAATATACTGTCGTTAAATCAATTTCCAAGTCATGCCTTGCTAGAAAAAGATACATTCTTTTTATTGGTGTCTTCGAAACGCTTTGAACTTTCACATTTGAACACGCACGATCGAATGCTTCTGCACGAACAGATTACCATCGCGATCCCTACGTGATGCTACGAATAAAAATTATTTTTCTTTCAAATATTGCTCTTCTCTCGACGTTGAATGATACCGGATCAGCAATTCTTGTTGCTCGTTTTGCGGCTGAGACTACATTTCCAGCTCGACTCAGTAACGAATACGATCTTTCGTCGAATAAAAATCCCTATTTCTCAACTACCGATTTTTTTTCCGTGCCGAGAGAATCTTCATTACGAGTGCGTATAAATAGTTGCTCGTTAAGACGAAAAAATCAGATTGCTTCCGTCGTTCTATATTTAACAACTTCGGGAATGATGAGAAAGAGAAAGAAAAAGATGTAGTAAAAATTATTTTTCTTCTTATCACACTTCGATTAAATTCCTTCAATTCTCACCTCGCTTCTGCGTTATATGCTTCACTAGATCTTCGCGTAAGACTCTCGCTTATGTCGAGTGTTCCTTGTAATCCACTGTGACAAAATGTATGCTCGACAGAACATAAGTCCTCCTGACAATCACATTTTCGCCTATTTACGATTCGTGTCGCGAGTCAGGATTCTTCCATTTGTTTTTCGCGCTGGTACTTTCTCGTCGTCTTCGATCGTACCGGTGAATGGAGAAAAAGGGCGAAAAGTTCAAGTGTATACGTGTTACCCTTAATGAACGGCGCCGTGGGACGCGCATTTGTGCCCTAAGTCATCCATAAGAAATCTCGATTCAGAATGCCCTACGCGCGCTCGTCCCTCAGGATTACGCCCCCGACGCAATGAATTTACCGTTACGTGGCCGGCCGGAAATTGCAACCTTTCCCCCGATGTTCTTCTCGTACTCACCCCCTTTCACAGAACTTCTATTCACTGGCGTTATATGGGAAAAGAGCAAATAAAACGATGTCTGACTTTTCGGCGACTTCCTGAAGTACGATCACGTTCCGCCCCGAGTAGCGAGAACGGCGAATTTTTGGTGCAGCTTCTCGTGATCTCTCATGATCGTTTGTCGACGTGTCGGAAATGCAGGGCGTAGCAGGGGTCGATCGATGCCGGGGATACTGAAAATTCCCGGGGTGTAGATTCCGCGTAAATCAGTTTCGCTAAACGACTTCGCACGCCTCCCCTTTCCAACGATCCTCCGCCCACTCTTTTTTCGAACGTGGGTGGATGGGTGGGTTTTATTCGCTGTCAGGGACTTTCGATTCCGAGTTAATATTTTCTGTGGTAGTTTCCGCGAAAAACAAACCGATGAAAGATTTTATTTCTCAACGATCGATTTTTACCGAACGGAAAGACCACGGAACTTGGAATCGTTTGACAGGCTCCGGAATTTCTTTAGTTTTCCGCGCTTTTTCTTCACGACTGTTTTCCTCTTCCTGCCTCAACAGTCTTCACGAACGGACGCATTCTCTACTTGTCGAACGCGAGACGTTGGATTTTGCTACGAATAATTTTTCACATTCAGTGACATTTCTCACGCGTTTTCTTAACTCCTCCGTTTCCTCTGCTCATCGATTTTCACTGCATTATATGTTTCCCTCGAAATCGAATAAAATATTGGTTCAAATGACTTGTCGAAGGCGATTTGTTCGCACCTTCGAGTTCGCGCAAGTAGCCGATTGAATCTTTAATTCAACCATCTAAATTCCCGCTCAAATATACCAAACTAATTTCATTATGTCGATCGTTTGGAATTTCGCCTCTTCCTCCTCGAGAATCAAAGTCAATATCTTCCTTCTTAGTGTTTTTTTTCTCTACACAGTCAATTAAGATGTCCAATGGACCGCCAATTATTTTCCTTCACACCTCTCGCAAAGAAAAAAAGGAGCTAAAACGTTACATGAATTTTCAATTATCCTTCTTCGTGGTTGCCTAAACATTCTCACGGGTTTTCTTTAATTACTTCGCTTCTACGCGAGAATCTGATATGCCGAATGAATTTCCAACGATCCCTCTTGGTTTGGTCGCAATTTATTCCTCGAGTTGCGCAAAACGCCGGATGAATTTTCGATGAGTTTCACTGTCGCTCTTTCGTATTGTGGAAGTCCGGCTGTTACACTTACTCTTGATAAGGAACTGAATAATACTACTACTATAGTATCATTATGATACTTAATCAGCACTTTATAGAAGTACCGATTAAAAAATAATCGGCGGATTTTTAATTAAGCGAATTTCCTAAAGCACGATATTCATCCGTAAGTTTACCCCGCAATTTCTGGTCTAATTTCGCTGAAATATCTTTAAAATATCTCTCTCTAATATGCGTCGAAAAACTCAGGCCTCCTCTCGGAAATTCAGTTTAATTAATTATACAATTGCGTTAATTATCGCCGATTTTCAATCCGAAACAACCAAATTTTCGGCGGCTTTTATTTTAATCACTACGCAGATATATATTTTCACTAAAACACCGAATAAAATCCCATTTTGTTCTCTTCACTTCTATTCCTTCGATACGCTGAACCTCAGCCGAATCATCCACTTGAATTCATTTCTACCTTTTCACGTTTCGATTCCCATTCGGCCCTTACTCGATTCTCTCCTCCTTAATTGCCCTCTTCTCAATTTTTCTGCAGTTCGATTTTCCTCTCTTTCAATCCAAACATTTAAAATGCTCGCTCGATCGCAAGTAATAACTCTTGCTTTTCATCCTTTCTCCTTCCGCTTTCTTTTCTAATATTTCCTCCCGACTGCCTGCACTTTTTAATTATTATTCTCTATCTATTATTATTCTGCTATCTGGATGTCACAAAGCATTTTAAAGTTTCGCAAGTTTTTTCGATTTTATTGAGACGTCAAATAGCTTTATAACAAAGATGACGGCGTGACGATTTTAACTCTGCCGATGCAGCGAAATAATTATTGCACGGTCCAAGTATTGGACTATTTCTAAGTGCCACTCAAACTTTCCCAATGCTGGCGATTCCTCCTCTTCAAGGTTCGGCAAGCCTCCAAGTGGTCCTTCGTTTTTCCACTTGATGTGACTAAAGTTATCGCAAATCCCGACCAAATTCTCGCGGAAACGCTTCGCGAAAGGTCTTTCTTGAAATATTTCGATTTTCAATAACGGCAAAAGGGAGAACAATATGAGAAAATCGGCCACGATTAGTCGCGAATTGGAATACACCGAGTTCGTCCGGTGAACATATCTGTGATGCAAGGGAAATCGTATTTACTTTCGTAGCGCGCGTAATTACTCGACAACGCGGTACCAAGCTTCACGCGTGCATCTTACTGATGCCATGAAGGGAATTTTGTCGTTTGTATGCCAACCGGTGCGCTCTACGACGACACTACGAAAACGCGAACGCAAGAAAAGCAACGCGTGTCTTCGCGAAAATGAGAAATCCTCTCGTCTTAATTATCTTCGATAGGATGGTTGATTAAGAAATTTTTAAGAAATTACAGGCAACACTTAGATCGTAATTAACGTTTACATTAACAATATAATGTTTATATATGTGCTTTTATATACGATTGATTCGATCATGTGATGCCACAACTTACGTCGCAGAACGATGTTGCAGGCTTTCTCGGTAAAGTCACTGAGCAGTTTACTTTGATCAGTCTTAACAATTCTCACGCGTCAAGCCTCTGAAGTCTAGGAGTAAAAATCACAGCCAGTGAAGTGAAATTACGCTCGTCGATCATTGCCGCGATGGCGATCAGTCTCATGTGCTCTCGTATGTGCGCTTCCTATTTCTCTTTATTCTCGTCGACCTATCGTCCCGAATACTCTCGGGTACGCTAAATTATCTGTCGGCACCTGGCGCACTGCCTGTATCTGAGCAATCTGAAGAGTGCCGCCTTCTTGATACGTTTCGATCGCATTATTTCGTCCGATCGACTCTGGCTCGACGATGGAGATCCTCTCGAGGTAATGCGCGTAATGCATCCCACGGGCACGCACTTCTCGATGATTTATTCCACCCTCGCGTTTATTCCGCCCACCAAACGGCAGCGTCTGCAAAAGAAAGCATGAGAAAAATCTCGTTGTTACTGCGGCAAGAGCTTACTATCAATTGGCGACGAGTGCAATCGGTGAGGCAGTTTAATCTTGAAGAGAAACAATGACGAGACTGCACTTGTAGGAAAATATTCAACTATTAAGTAGTAACGTTATGTTTTCTTAGTATTTAACGAAAAATAAATTTTGTCGAAGAGAAAATCTCTTCTTTCCGTCTCTAAATTTTCTACACAGAAAGAAAGCTTTTTGCTGAAGTATTGGAAAATTTAGATGCAAATGAGAAAAATAATTTTGTTGATAATTGTATTGAATAATTGTATAAAACGTTTAAGTTGACTGCTAGAATATAAACATTTTTGCAGTATTGTTTATGCTTGAGTTTCCTATAATTATTTTAATGGTCCAACAAAATTATTTTCAGATTTGTTTCCTAGTTAAATTTTTAGATATTTCAACAAAATTATTTCTTTCCACGTAATAATAAAACAATAATTAAATCTAATGCAAGGGTAACAATAATTATTTTCTTCAATAGGGTGTTCAAACTTACGAAAAAGTTATTTCGAAGGTTAATCAATAATATTTTTTCTTTTCTAAAGATAAACATCTTTTTTTTGCCTCATATTATACATGTAAATAGATGAGCTTAATTAATATAATTATTAAACGTATATTAAACGTTTAACCTTCCCGAAGTTTTTTATTTATTTTTCCATTTTTAATTATAAAAAATATAATTTTTTTTCATTTTTTATTCTAAACACATTTTTTGTAAATACATAAAATATTTTTTCTCTGCGTTACGATCATGTAAATAATTTCTGGAACTTTTTATTAGTTAAAATTTTCACAGAATATTTGATGCATAAAGAAAATTTTTACAAGGTTTGCGAGCCGAAAAACAGAGAATATGTGCTGAAATGTTAAAATAGTACAATATTACATTCATATAATTACACAGTTCGTTTTTAATAACTGTTTGTTTATACTTGTTTCAGGAAAAAAAAGTTATGATTTGCAAAACTTTTTCTGATTCAAGAACGAGAAGGAGAAGAAATTCTAAGCTTTAAAATATAAAAACAAGAAACTACTCGTTAACGCAAACAATTTCTGTTTATGTGCGATAACACAATTCATATAAACGCTCTTTAAAGAAATCCTTATACCTACTTATGTTATTAAATTATTGCAACATGTATTATATATATGTATATTCGACTAATTATTTTCTACAACCGTCTGTATACCACAATCCAATATTACCTAAGTGTTATATATGTGACTTTCGAATCTGCTGGAATTCTAAATTTGATAGCTCTATGCTACCAAACGGATCGGATGTACGAGAAGCGGAACGGTGTGCGCGAAGCCGATAGGGAATTCGGTTCAAAGACTAGATGGAATTGAACGTAGATGAATGGACAAGCCCGGGCGAGCAAAAAGGAAAGCCAGGGGTTTTGACAACAACCACTCGAATACGAAATATACCTACTCGTTGGCAGATCCTGAAAACGAAGGTCATTGATCGATATTTTCATTCAGCGCCGTTATATACATGCATATTTTCTCTAATAATCTCAATTAACATAATGTAAATGACTTTTCTCTTTCTCATTCTTCTTTTCGTTAAAAAATCGTAGGCGTCATAAATTTCATAAAAAAGTGATCATACGCAAACATATTTCTCCAATAACGAGTGTTTTTGATTACAAATAGCAAATGATGTAATTTCTAGCAATATTTTTAGTTTTATTCACACATATTGAAATGTCAACCCCTTTGGCTTTATATTTATTTAATCACACGCATAAAAGCAAAGTATTACCATATTATACACAGGCACAAACACACGCATACACATTTGCCCATTTAAATATTGTGTAATTCTGTTGGTAAAGGCAAACATATTTACGTAATGTTGCGTGAAATATAGTACTAGTATGAAAATAAAATATATATTTCATACAAGAGATATAAGATATATTTATATCGTACGTCTTTGTCGCCTTATTTATAGATTACGCCAGTTCTGCTTCTTTTTCGTTCTTTCTTTAATTACGATTGGTGCACCTGGTGCATCTGAGTGAAACGCTCGATAGGAACGTTTGACGTAATCCAGTGGAAACTCTCGGAAGTGGAATGCGGCAAGAAAAGTATATATCTTCAATAATTTCAAATTTAACAACCGTTAAAGAAGTATTCTTATACTAGGATGATACGTGTACATATAAATATTTGCAAATGTTTATATCAACATTTTGCAATATAAGAGAAAGATCATCCTTTTTTATTACTATCTGCAATATTTGCATGCCAGTTATTTGTAATATTGCAATTTGAATGAAACGGATTCCTTTATTAGCATCCTTTGGCATTGTTTTCAGATATATCAAAGAACACCTTTGTGCTTTTCATAAAAGCACAAAGAAAATTAATTAATTCTCGTTGTTAATTCATGACTTTTTCAAATTGCATGTTCGTAAAGTTTATTTCATCTGAATTTTTAGTACTTCGAACCTTTTATATTTCATTATATACGTTGCATATATTTATATAAACAATTTTATTTTTCATATTTCTTGTATTTTTAATCTCATAATTAATTATATAATAATATATTTAGTTTTAAAAAATATCAACTTTTACATTTATATGTCCTTTCTTTAAATACTATTTTTACTTATATTTTATTCTGAATGTATATGACAGTACTCGTTAATTACAAGATATAAAGGAACTCGAGACCGTTATTCACTCTTCTATTTCATTAGGTATATCTATCGGTATTATAAAACAGAGTCGCGTACAAAGCGTTAAGTGCTTGGCTATTTGCCCTTTTGTGCGCGAAATATATTTTCGCAAGTATGGCAAAGGGATTACAAGCGAGAAATATCAAACGATAGACAGAAGGCAGTAGAGAACAGAAAGAGACGTTCACGCTGCAACGGGCATATACGTATGTTTGCAGCCGGGTAAAATAGTGAAACACGAAGATATGCATGGCATCGAAATACCGAGGTATACGTGAAGTTACAGTCAGCGGAGAACTTCCGCCTATTAATTAACCTTCAGCTCTTTGTTCTCGTGTAAATACGCATAAAAGGATGCGTTAATATGCGTTATACGTAAGTTATTTTCCCTCGCCCAATTTTGTCGTTGTAACTTTCATCTCCGCTCTCTGCACGACGAACTTTCGTGAAACTTTGCTTATATTAAAACTATTATTTACCTTATATTCTGTATTCAGCTTTAAAATATTAAATTTTAAGATATTAAAATATACTCGCCTACAGTGAGTACAAAAACCGAGCCGTTATAACGTTACAATGGCTCTTTCTTTGCAAATAAATTTTATAAAATATTTTTATTTTTAATATAAAAAATCCACTGATACAAATATTTTTTTTCAGCATATGATATGTTGTTATTAAATAACGTAATATATATTTGAAAACAGAAAACAAATGATCTATTCCTATAACGAAATGATAATAAACAAAATTTCATAATTTACATGCGATACAGAAAAAAAATATCTGGATAAACGTTTCCGAATTTGAGTGATATACAGAAAGAATCTACGAACTATGAGGAGCTTCTCAGAGTCGTGTATTATGTTCATCGCGTATTCATACACCTCGGCCTGTAAAAAGAACGACCCTTTATGAGAAGATGCACGCGCAAATGAGGACGGTATAGGAATGTGCATGGCGCGACGTGTCTTTAGTATGTATGTACATGGATTTTTTTTCATCCGTTTTTATATTTACAGAAATTCAAAGCGTTAAGAAAGGCATCTTTATGAGTACAAACAAAAGCGTAAGGAAAAAGAACCGTAAATGTTAATACGTTAGATTCCTGATCTTAGCAGCTGTGTTCTGTTAGAAAGAATTGAACAATTCGGCATTTCTTTTCAACCAGATATTTTAGAGAAATAGAGTAATATAATTCAAGCT